AGTTTCTTGCAGTCAGCACATTCACAGCCATTCGGGGATTTTTCTGCTCAGGATTTGGCCGAGGCTATGGGGGAGGCGACTGATGATCACCATGTTGTTGCTGCTGGTGACGATGTACCTGGTCATGATGGTGCCGTACCTGTTCCCGGTGCTGATGTTGTTCCTGATGCTGATGGTGCTGATGCTCAGGGGATTAGGAGAAACCCCGTTCGACAGGCCAGGTTTACTTGCGTGCTGTCACCATTTGACCACGATCAGTCTAAATGCGCGGGGTATCATGCTCGACAGCACTGATGTGTTATTTTGTTGTGTCTATCTGTGTTTAGGTTGACTTTGCTTACTGTACATGGACTGTGGACTCTTATTTACGTATATTTTGCACCTGTGTTGGAGACTATATGTTTTGCGCGACTTATGTACCTGCTGTAGTTGCTATGATTATCGTTGTTTACTTTGGTAATATTATGGGCACATATGATGTTTTTATTAATATTATGGTTATGTTCCTGCCGACAAGACTGATTGAAGTATGAAAATGTAAATGGCGGTACTAAATATTATAACAAACCGAACATTTTGTACATACATCACTACTTTTGCGAATAAGAAAATACATAACATACTTACGCATATAATAAATATTTAGACTCATTCACTGTTGTGGTTGCTGTCGCGAAGGACAATACTGTTTATTATGCCTAACCTCCCTAAAATAACCGCACCTTGTTCGAGTAATTGCGCCTTCCCGCGAATCCATTTCATTGTGAATACGTGTACTTCTAGGCCTTCCCTGTTGACGTCTCATAGACACATCTTGTATAACTGTTGCATGTGCAAATGGCGGTATGAAGTCCTCGTTACCAATTGGATACCATTGAGTCGAATAAATTTCACATTGATTCTTGGCACTGTATCCAGGGTCTATGTACTGTGTGGGATCGTGATACGTCGATGTACATGCCGCAATGACATGTCTACACAGAAACCTGAAAGCAGTGAACTCACCACACTGACATGTACGGTCAGATAACGAATTCGACCATTTTTTACCGTCGCGATGAGTCCGTACATTATACGACTCTTGCACTTCAAATCTTGTCATTTGCGCGTCATAAGAAGTTACGTAATGTGTCGCAGCTTTACGTTGATTGTCCACATATGCTCGCCACATGACTTTGGCGAAGCGATTACCTCTCTCAAGCTCCTCACGGGCTTCCTGTCCGTGCTCTAAAAATATGCCACCAGTCTACTGTAAGTTATACGCACAAGTGAGGTAATTGGAAGGTTTCGCGCCCCTTTTAGAACTTTATTAACACACTCTGACAGATTTGTTGTCATGTGGCCAAACCTTCTTCCTTGTTCATCGTAAGAGATACTCCACTTCTCTTTCTGGATGCGATCAATCCAAGCAGCTATTTGAGGGCTTGTTTCTTTAAACTTTTCTAAACCAGCATCAAAGTGCAAGCGTGATGTTGTATATCCTACACATAGCACACACAAAATATTACTATCGGGGGTCCATTATACGAATCAGACAAATTGAAAACATACCTAACTTCTTCAACTGCTTCTTCAACATGACATTCTTGAACTTGTGATTGAAATTACTGGCCACGTGGCGAAGGCAATACACATGGTATGCCTGTGGTGGAGACCATCCTAGATCAGCATTGTTGACTGCAGACAAGATTCTCGCATGCCGATCAGAAATCAGACAGATTTCGTGTTTTTACGTAACATGTATTTGAATAAGTGCTAGGAACCACGACCAGTTGTCAGTATTCTCCGCAGACACGATAGCGAATGTAATTGGAAGAATGTAATTGTTGTCATCAACTGCTGTAGCAATCATTAGGGTCCCATGATATTTTCCATATAGATGGGTTCCATCGATCAGGATTATTGGCTTGCAATAATGGAATGCTTCACAACACTGTTTAAATGTCCAAAACACCCTTCTGAATACCTTGTGAGCTTGGTCTAGGCAACCATCAATGAAATGGTCACGCAAATCCAGCTTATAGGCGGATCCGGGGGAAAAACGCAACATGTAATCCAGCCACCTAGGTAAGAACGCATACGACTCGTCCCAGTCACCAAATACTTTCACAATAGCCTTTTGCTTTGCCTTCCATGCCTTCCTATACGATATATGGAATCTAAGGCTAAGCGATCCTTTCTTGGATAAGCCCAATTTTGACACTGGGCTCCTCTCTTATCATATCTGTTTATGTGGTCAAACAACAGTATTAGTCAACAAGAGACAAAGTTTTTATAAATTTAATAGCAATAACTGGACGCACCTAAGATCAATGAACAAATGAGATTTGAGTCCAACTGCTTGTGATCTTGGGTAAGAGTCTGACTAACACATGTGTGTTCGTTGTTCCATATGCCTATCACCCATTCACTGCCACCTTTTTTTTGGTATGCTCTCATCCTCATTGGACAACCGGCGTTATGATTTTGACAAACCATAATCAACCTTTTCGTATCACTTTTCAGTACGACTGTTGTGCGATGATTTGCCATACAATATTGTTTAATTGCCATCTGTACATCTTGCTTGGTGTCAAACAATTGGTCCTTATATAGCTCGTCGCCGATCTGCCAGTTAGGTATTTGTGCTCCAGTCATATCATCCAATTCTTGATCTGGATATTCCCAATTAACATTCGTGAAATGGCTAATTCCAGACCAAAATGGTACATTATCATTTCCTGCATAATAACATATCCAAAACCCCAATATTAATGTCGTTTTAATATGATATTAGATTTTTTATTATAAAGCATTAATGGTTATGTACCTGAAACAGGAGGATCTTGCATTCCGACAATGCCTGGCGATGCAATTGGTTGTCCAACTGCAGTAGACGGACAACAATCAAAATCATCATCGACATCCGTATCCGATGACTCGCTATCTGGAACAAGACCTTCATCACGCTCTTCCTCGGAACTATCCGTACGCCAAGATGGATCGTACATGTCGTTGGCTGGAACCGCTTCATCAAAAATTTCTTGAGTTGGTGGTGCAAGCGTTGGGGACGCGACCTCATCTTCCGGATTAACCACTGGCACCATGTTTATGTCGATGATGTTAGTGGATAGATTGCTCGGTTGACTGTTGGATTGTCCACCATAGTTGACTTCTGCATACAATTCAATAAATCTTGACTCGCCGTGTTCAGAAGTGCTTGCATCTACTACTATCGTTACATCTTCATCATCGACAATTTCCACACCAACCTATTGCACGGGGTTACCCGAGGCACATCTAGCGGTCAACCGAGCAAGAGTTTGACCACGTTGTAATCTCAACTTCTTGTATATTAACTTCTTGAGCTCGTGAAGATTGCATGTTGGGCTCATGCGAAACATTTTTGCATCACCTTCAAACACTTGCTCGTTTGGACCAAAGTGTTTTCTCCCATTATAATAAACAGTAGCTAGTAAATCATTCCTACTCATCTCCCAAAAGTAGAAAAAAACTAAACTAAGATTCAACAACAACACAAAAGTAGTAAAAGCTAAGCATAAAAGGAAAATTTACGCAGTGGTGGTTCACACCTGAAATGGACTTATTTATAGCTCTTAATTCGCTATGGGGGGTAGCAAATTAATGCTCATAATTCGCTATGCCCCCTAGCGAATTATGGGGGAGATGACACATGGATCTGATGTGTCAGATATGTTCGTATTTCGCCATGACTCATAGCAAATTAACCCACATAATTCGCTACATAGTACAGCGAATTATGTGGGGATGTGACACGTGGCCTGACTTCGAGTTGACAAGGCTTGACCCATCTGACACATAATTCGCTACACAGAGTAGCGAATTATGTGTCCAACAGGTATGTGACACGTGTCCACCATGCTCAGTGCAGCAGGTTACCGTTATGCATAATTCGCTACACAGGGTAGCGAATTACTCTAAGCTTGACACGTGGCATTCTTGTTGACTGGACATTCTGACGTGTCCTATTTCGCTACATAGGGTAGCGAATTAATTGCATACCTAATTCGCTACACTGTGTAGCGAATTAGCCCGCGTGGCATTTTGGGAATTTTTACTGTGCGCGTGGCATTCTAGTAAATATTATGATGAACAGTGACAAAATGGTCACTGTTCCCGTATGTAGTACCCTTCCCAAATTGGAAAGCAATGGGGGCATAAAAGGAAATGGATAAAAAACAAGGGATTAAAATAGAATAAAAATTTCCTATTTTAGTAAAATGATGTACCCAACTTGGTACAACTGTAGTATTTAAAAAATTCCGCCCCTATTTGTGGAGATACGAGAATATCTTTGGTACTACGTCTTCCACTCATATTGTAATATGTGTCTTACTTTATATCAAATCATTCTCTCTCCTAATTTTAAAATAAATTATTTATTATTGATTTGACAAAAGTAAGATACGTGTTATGATATAAGTGGAAGATATATCAAATTTATGGTGCATTCGTAGCATCAAAGAAATTTCCATGGAGATACTAAAATAAACTAACTTAACTTACAAAAATAATTAGGGTTGAGTTAATTTAAAAAAAAAACAGGGTTTAGCTTGTAATGATTATTGCTTAGTTGTAGAGGTGAAAAGGATGGGATCGGGGCAATTACGTTCAAAAAAGGGTTTTATGAGAGTTATGTTGTAGGAAAAATAATTGTGTTTTGTTACAGAGATTCGTTTTGCATGTCGCAGTTTTTTTTTTTCTTCAAAACATGCGGGTCCCATACAATGTTGTATATATGAAACTTTTTGTGATTATGTTAAATGATGAATACAAACCCTTTAAAAAAAATATCTCTGCCATTTGCAGAGATTGCCTCATCAAAATTCAAAAGTTAGAAAGAAATTTAAACCGTCCAAATAAAATAAAAAAAGGACGTTTGAAACCCAAACACAAACATGGGAAAAAGATCACATGGTGTGTATACTGTATAGCATAAACACAAGCTCTCATTTTAATAGTCCGTTAACCAAGTATTCTGAAATTCTCACCCTCCTCCTTTTGTTGCTTGTGTTCGTGCGAAAGAGTGAGAGATTATCACGATTGTGGTTGCTGAGAGCTTAGACTCTTACCAAATATTAGGGTTCATCCATTCCTCCTTAAGAAACTCTTGAAGCTCAGCACTGTAAGTGAATGTGAAATCACATGTTAGACTTATTATATGCATGTTGTATTTTCTGTTTTTATCGGTTCCCTTGTATAGTCTCCTTCATATGTGTGGTTTTTTCTCTGTTTATTCCATTATAATCCTCACCAAATGGATTATATTTATATATATTCCAGTGTTCCTAGGAAACTGTAACTGAAAAGTGAACTAGAAAACATAGTGAGCTTTGGCAACCTGGCCTCTGCCTACAATAATAATTCTGCAAACAGATTCATACACACCAGGTGGCTTAAGATTTTAACAAATTAGCAATTCTGTATTAAGCTCTGAAAGAATGAAAGAAGGGTTTTGGTGAAGAGTTACATACTTTGCCTTATTTCTATTGGTTAACCCTCTATACAAGGTAAGATAAAAGAGACCAAGAAGAAGTTGCGTGGGCGGAAATAGAATGAAGTTAAAATGAACTAAATTCCTTATGAAGGGAAGACATGCACTTATGATGATGAACATGTCACTGTTTGTAATGAATGAGAAAGATGATGAACATGTGAGTGTCATACGACCCTTGGTGGTGAGTCAGCATTAGTTAGTTGGTTAGAGCAGTTAGTGGCATGAATGGTATCTATAAAACAAAAGGTAAAAGTGTATGGAAAGCATCTTGAATCTTGGGCATTTGGATTGGGACTTAGGGAGAGAATCAAATCCTCTCTAATGCTCTGACTTGGTTTCTATGGAGTAGCTTGTATTTGCCTTACTTTGCCAATATGTAATCACTTGAATCTGTGTAGTTCATTTCTTTTGTAATTTCCATTGTTCCGTTCAGACCCAAATACCAATACAAATTACAGATTTCACATCTTAATCCTTATTCTTGTTCTATAATCATTTTTTATTGATCTGGACCTTATCAGAGTGTGTTACCATTTTGGGTTTAGGATTTTTTCATGACAGAAATGTGAATACCTTCTAATTCTTCAGGAGTGAATTCTGCTATTTCCTTTGATGTTGGTTCTTGATGTGTATTCAGGTTATCCAAGTTTTGCATGATCTGTGCACATAACCTCATGGTCAAATACTAAGGTTCCCAATGAAAACTGACTATTGTGCATTATACCGAATTTTTTTTCAAAAAAGCTTTGGAGCTGTTGACCTCAGATCAAGTTACTTATCAGATTTTCAGTGTTTTTGGTGCACAGGTCCATTCCAAATTACAACTATCAAGATTCCAACAGTTTAGCAGGGAGTTAGAATTGTTTATCAATCAAAACTTTGAAGAACAAAGTAAGTTCTTAATATCACTACATCAGAGATAACTTTAATATCAGTAAGTTTATTTATTACTAGTCTTTTATTTTATTGGAAACTATGGAAAATTATTTACTTGTTTCCACTTTTTTTCTGCATTTGCTGCTGTCATTTCTTCCTTTGTCCAGTAAGTATGAGTGTGTGTCTGTGTCTAGTTGATAAAAGCCATGCAAGGTGCTTGCCTCCAATTGTTTACTATTAAAGAATATTCTACAGCAGGCTAAACAGATGAAAATGACACTACTATTTCATTTTAGTTTGCTAGATTTCTAGCTGTCACTTATGTTATTTCAATGTGGATGCAACTATAAAAATTCAAAGCATGCTATACGAGTTGTTACTTCATTGGCTATATGCGTTGCATTTCATGTTCTTATCGTCTTAAATGTTAAGCTAGTAACTGTTAATTGCTGATACGATTTTCAATTTGCAGTTATAGATGGATAGCAATTCGGAGAAAAGGAAACATAAGGCAATGAAAAAGAGTACTTGCCTTAGTATGACTAGTAAAAAAGATAAGAGTTCCCAGAATTCCTCAACAGAAAAGATTAGAAATAGTTCATCCTCAAATCAAGAACCTATTGTTCTGCGTCTCATTGGTGAGCTAGAGACAGTGATATTGGCTAGATTTCCTATATCAGAACACTGGAAGTTGGGCTGTCTAAACAAGCAATTTCAGGCACAACTCAAGAGTGGTGATATCTATGAAATTAGAAGACAGGATAGGGTTCACAGAACCATGTGTCTTTATGTTAGAAACTCATCGAAGGAAATTGGTGTGCACTTGGTCGCCATTTCAAGTCCTGCAGGAAGCTCCCTTTTATTCCATCTATTATTCCATCGGTTTACAGTTTTAGGTGTGGAAACAATGGGTCATTTTCTGCAGGGACCCATCTGTTTGTTCAAGGATTGGAGGCTGGCGAATATTCTGTTTGGAGGTATGACTTAGCAACAAATAAATGGTCCAAGGCTCCTCCCATGAACAGCCCAATGTGCCTTTTTTTGCATCAGCCTCCCATTATATCTTTGCATTTGTTGCAGGTGGACTTGAAACAAAAACTTATAGTGTAGTTTTGAGTTCTGCTGAGAAATACAATTCAAAAAGCCAGTCTTGGAAGACCCTCCCAAGAATGAGCTACGAATACTCTTTTCTTGAATCAGATTCAAGAAAATTTCGGATTGCCTAGTATTACACCAGTTGACAATCCAAGATTCCAGACTGGCTTTCTGAATTGTATTTCTCAGCAGAGCTCAAAACTACACTATAAGTTTTTGTTTCAAGTCCACCTGCAACAAATGCAAAGATATCATGGAGGCTGATGCAAAAAGGCACCTTGGACCATTTATTTGTTGCTAAGTCATACCTCCAAACAGAATATTCGCCAGCCTCCAATCCTTGAACAAACAGATGGGTCCCTGCAGAAAATGACCCATTGTTTCCACACCTAAAACTATAAACCGATGGAATAAAAGGGAGCTTCCTGCAGGACTTGAAATGGCGATCAAATACACACCAATTCCCTGCAGAAAATAACCCATTGTTTCTTTTGTTTTCTTCCATAAATGCAAATATTGCTAGTTTTGCAGATACACCTTCGTTACCCAAGAATGAAAATCATTATCAAAACATTAAAAGACTAAAAGATATCCACATTCTTCAGCATTGTAAAGAGTTGATGGAAACTCAAATCCACCTTTCCCACAATTGTATCACTTCAGTTTTTTTTCATCCATTCCTCCTGAAGAAACTCTTGAATCTCAGCACTGTAAGTGAATATGAGATCACATGTTAGACTCATTTGTATGTAGGTTGTATTTTCTATTTTTATCGGTTCCCTTGAATAGTTTCCTTCATATGTGGTTTTTTTCTCTGTTTCTTCCAATATAATCCTCACCAAATAGATTATTTTATATATATATACCAGTGAGTTAGTGTTCCTAGAAATCTGTAACTGAAAAATGAACTAGAATAAAAAATATCTGAACCAAATAGAAAACATAATGAGCTTTGGCAACCTGGTCTCTGCCTAAAAAAATGATAATTCTGCAAACAGATTCATACACACCAGGTGGCTTAAGATTTTATCAAATTAGCTATTGTATATTAAGCTGTGAAAGAGACCACAAAGGAAAGTAAGGAAAAATATTGATTTGTTTCCCTTTCTTTCTCTGCATTTGTTGCTGTCATTTCCTCCTATGTCCATTAAGTATATGGGTGTGTGTTTGTGTCTAGTTGATAACAGCCATGTAAGGTGCTTGCATCCAATTGTTTACTGTTGAAAAATATTCCATAGCAGGCTAAACAGATGAAAATGACACTAGTATTTCATTTTAGTTTGCTATATTTCAAGCTGTTACTTCAATGTGTGTGCAACTATAAAGACTCAAGTCATGCTATATGAGTTGTTATTTCAAAAATATTATATGACAAAAATAAGGAAAAGATGAGTTACCAAAAAATAAAATTAAATATAAGGAAACGGTGAATGCTTAAAAATTGTAAGATAGGGTATAATATTTATAATATTAAGTTTATATATATATACATTAAATTAAAAGAAAGATATTAATGTTTTAAAAGTAATAATTAATATCTGTAGAGACCATGTCGTACTATTATTTATTTAATTATAATATTATATGCGCAAAAATTCAAGCAATAAATATAAGTGCAACCATGTGATGCATGCTAAATCTAATTGATATGAATATATGTTCAATACTAATTATGCTCGTGCTTCCTTGCTTTTAATAAACTTTACCTAGGGGTGTGACAATTTTCATTTCTTTTTGAAATAGGGACGATATTTTTCGATATACATATGCCAACACAATTGGAACATAATACGGAACTTTCGTGTTTGTCTCAACCCCTATTCGGGTTTGTAGTCACCAAAAAGTGGTTCTAAAAAATATTGTCATGTTCATTTTAGCAGTATTTGTGTTCATGTGGACATGCAATTGGTTTATTTAAATTAAATAATTATATAATTACATATTTACCCCGACTTACCTCAATTTTATTTAATAACTTGAGGATATTTAAGTAATTTTCATTGTAAAAGAATAATTTATATGTTATTCATCTCATGTCGTGTCAATCCACGTAAATATGGTTGTATTAGTGTCAAGGGTTTGGACATGAATAAGTATTTGTGTCGCGTTTGTTTCAAGAGTGTTCTTCTTCATGTTGTTGATTTCGTGTTAATCCAAACATGACTCGTCAACTCGAACCGCCACCCCTAATTGTATGTATGTTCGTCTACGGGCCTAAGTAAATAGATCGGGGTGCCTGTTATTTTTTAAAACATCCATAATGTGTTTTGTTTTTTTAGTTTTTAAAACTAAAAAATAAACATTGTTTTGAAAATCATTTTTCAAAACAATCATAGATTTTTTTTTGTTTTTTTAAAAACTCAAAAACTGTTTCTGAGAATAAAAATCAAAATGTAAACCCTTTAACTATTTACATGTCTACCTAGATAGTATCTATTGGACTTATAGAAAATTCAACATAAGATAGTCACGACTCACGACTAGGGATGTGCATGAGTCGAACCGAACCGGTTTTTTTAAAAAACCGAACCGAATTGGTTTAAATGGTTCGGTTCGGAAGTGGTTTGATTCAGTTCAAAACTGGTTCGGTTCGGTTTGGTTCGAAACCGGTTCGGAAACGGTTCGGTTCGAAACCGGTTCGGGTCGACCCTCTTTTGAAAAGAAAAAAATTTAAAAATTTAAAAAATAAAGTTATAAAAATCAATTTGGTTCGGTTTGAAAATGGTTCGGTTCGGTTCAAAATGGTTCGGTTCTTAAACTGGTTCTAAAAACCGATTCGGTTCTTAAACTGGTTCTTTAAAAACCGGTTCGATTCATGAACTGGTTTTTAAAAATTGATTATTTTAAGGGGAGGTTCGGTTCGGTTTAGTTTTTTGGTTATTTTGCACACTCCTACTCACGACAACAAATTTTATAGGCAAATTGGGTCTCCAGCGCACCCCTTTAAACGGCCCAAATTTGGTCCAGTCCATTAGTATGACTACGCATGTAAGACGATTCAAAGGACAGGTTTAGTACCAAATTATGGTAGCTCAATTAGTAATAAGAGAGTTGAGTAAGTGAAAAGGAAAGAGCTTCGATTCGATCTCAATATCTCACATTTAGAATGGGTTTAAATATCTTCATTCCTGATCCATCTCGTACTCTGAATTAGTCTCATAGCCGTCTCAAAGAGTCGATGTTTGTAGGTAGGGATATGAATAAGTTAAGCCGGCTTACAGAGGTCTACGACCTAGACTATATCAGGTCAGACTTGGCCTATGAAAAATAGTCAAATAGAATAGGCATAGGATTTTAAAAAAGCATAATTAGAAAACAAGTTATAGCTTTTTTTAACATGTTGGGTCTATCAGCCTACAAATCATCATATATCATATCATTTATTTTAAATAAAATACATAAAATTATTATTTTAATAATTTTGAATAACGAAATAATATTATTTTAATTATTTTTTAAATTATTGAATGTTTAATAGGCTTAAATAGGCTAACAAGTCTAAGTCAAGACTTTTATTTTTTAAATATATGTTAGGTCGGACGTATAATTTGAGCCTACATAAAGCTACTTGGCCAGACCAGCCTATAATACTTTATAAAGCCCTAATTTATTTAAACCAAAACCTAATTTAGTCTAACCTAATTTATTTACACTATGTACTAAAAAAAAAAAAATTACACTGCTATTTGTAAGGTACCAAAATAAGCTAATTCAACTTAAAAAGATAATTAGGTTGAGTTAACTTAATAAAAAAATAGGTTTAGGGGGTGTATTAGATTGAGATTTCAAAGGATTTTAATGGATTGTTTTTGGACAAAAAAAATCTGTTGGTATTCGATTAGGATTTTAATGGATTGAAAAAAAAGGCACGTGGTATTCGATTAGGATTTTAAAGGATTATTTTAGAATCCGTCCAAGTCTGTTGGTATTCAATCAGGATTTTAAACAATGGAATCACAATCTCGTCGTATTCAAAAATCCGACGATTTTAATGGATTTTCTATTGGTGTGGATTTCGTGAGACTTTTTAGTGAAAAATATAAATAGGATGTCTCTCACACAATCTCACCCCCAACCCCTAGGATTTCTTGAGATTCTTCTATGATAGTGTTTTCTTCTTCCTCTGACAGGTTGACTGCTCGAAATTGGATTCCGCCATGGGAGCTTCGTCAAAACTAAAAAAAAAAACAGAGAGCATATTTTTGAGCGATTCTCATCACAAAACAACCCAAAAACAACAAACCAACGAGATTTTATAATCTTTCTCAAAAATAACATATTTTTAAGTCATTTTTGAGAAATTTTGAAAGTTTAAAGAGTGATTTTTCAAGCTATGGGTCGCGGTTTTCTTGGCACAAAAACATGTGATTTTTGTATTAAAAACAACATAAAACAGTGGAAAAATAACAGCGAAACTAAAACCCTCAAACCAATTTTCATTTTACATCAATGAAACAATATTAATTTAAAGAAAGATTGAAACTTTCATAATATGAACCCTATATTTTGTAACAATATATTCATGAACGAAATTCCTTCACTATAGAAAACAATTTCAAACATTTTTTTTGTCAATAGATAACTTAAAGCTTGTTTCTCAAAAACCCCAAAGCAATTTAAGGTTTCAATATACCGAATGAAAAAAAATTGAATTTTTTTTTAAACTTTCATGTAATTAAACCCAAAATTTCATATTCATATAGTTAGAAAATTCCAAAAACCCCAAGGTTTTCAAGATCAATTGCAAAAATTTCAAACGAAATTTTATCATGAACTTTAGGTTCTATATGCAAATTTAGAATTACTTTTATAATTAAAAAATTTGGGTCTTATATTCATATATGCATAGCTTTGATACCAAATGAAGAAGATAATTTTCAACCCATTAGATATTTGAAAAGCTATTGTTTAGTAATTTTGAATGTTTGTTAAAAATTATATTATGTTTTACTGATTGAGAAAATATTATTAGGTTTTACTTTTTTTATTAATTTCATTGTATTTCTTTATTATTTTTATGGGGAAGATTATACTTACAACCTATTTTTGTTTACAACATTTTACAATCATATCTTAACCGTTGATTTCTGTCAATCAATGGTTATTATTTTCGCAAATCAAACTCATTAATTAATATTTAATTTGCAATGAATGATAACCGTTGATTGACGAAAATCAACGGTTAAAATATGGTTGTAATATGTTGTAAACAAAAATAGGTTATAAGTATAACCTTTGCCTTTTGTATTGACTCTTGATTTGAATGTTTGTTAAAAATTCATATGATTTTTTAAAATCTTATAAATCTATATTATCCTTTCAAATCTTATAAATTCTATTAAAATCTAATCTTATTAAATCTTAATTGTAAAAAAAATCTTTTAAAAAAATCTTTTAAAATTTGTAAAAAATTTTATCTCACAAAAAGTCTTTTAAAATTCTAATTCAATACACCCCTTAGCTTGTGATGATTATTGCTGAGTTGGAGAGGTGAAAAGGATGGGATTGGGACAATGACATTCAAAAAATATCTCTGCCATTTGCAGAGTTTGCACTATCAAAATTCAAAAGTTAGACAGAAATATAAACCGTCCAAATTAAAAACAAAGAAGACGTTTGAAACCAAAACAAAAAAATGGGAAAGATCACATATTGTATACTGTACAGCACAAACACAATCTCTCATTTTAAGAGTCCGTGAACCATGTATTCTGAAATTCTCACCCTCCTCCTTTTGTTGCTTGTGTTCATGAGAAAGAGTGAGAGATTATCACGATTGTGGTTGATGAGAGCTTAGAATCTTACCCAATATTAGGGTTCATCCATTCCTCCTGGAGAAACTCTTGAAGCTCAGCACTGTAAGAGAATGTGAAATCACATGTTAGACTTATTTATATGCATGTTGTATTTTCTGTTTTTATTGGTTCCCTTGTATAGTTTCCTTCATATGTGTGGTTTTTTCTCTGTTTCTTACATTATAATCCCACCAAATGGATTATATTTATATATATTCCAGTGTTTCTAGAAAGCTGTAACTGAAAAGTGAACTAGAATCAAGAATATCTTAACCAAATAGAAAACATAGTGAGCTTTGGCAACCTGGCCTCTCCCTAAAAAAATAATAATTCTACAAACAGATTCATACACACCAGGTGGCTTAAGATTTTAGCAAATTAGCAATTCTGTATTAAGCTCTGAAAGAATGAAAGAAGGGTTTTGGTGAAGAGTTACATACTTTGCCTTATTTCTATTGGTTAACCCCTTATGCAAGGTAAGATAAAAGAGACCACGAAGGAGTTGGGTGGGTGGAAATAGAATGAAGTTGAAATGAACTAACTCCTTATGAAGGTAAGATATGCACTTATGATGATGAACATGTGACTGTTTGAAATGAATGAGAAAGTTAAGGACACACACCCCATTACAAGGATTACACCTGTATGAGTGTCATACGACCCTTGGTGGTGAGTCAGCATTAGTTAGTTGGTTAGAGCAGTTAGTGGCATAAATGATATCTATAAGAACCATAGGATTTTGTGATTAATCGGTAAATTCACTTTGATTCTCTATCGACCAAGAATTTTGGACTACTACCAGGAACCCTAGATGCTGTTGGAGTAAAGGATCGTCAAGAATTTCCTGAGACGGAAATAAAAATAACAAATTCTTAGATAAAAGTGTAGGGAAAGCATCTTGAATCTTGGGCATTTGGATTGGGACTTAGGGAGAGAATCAAATCCTCTCTAATGCTCTGTCTTGGTTTCTATAGAGTAGCTTGTATTTTCCTTAGTTTGCCAATCTGTAATCACTTGAATCTGTATAGTTCATTTCCATTGTAATTTCCATTGTACTGTTGAGACCCAAATATCAATACAAATTACAGATTTCACATCTCAATACTTATTTTTGTTCTATAATCATTTTTTATTGATCTTGGACCTTATCAGAGCGTGTTACCATTTTGGGTTTAGGATTTTTTTCATGACAGAAATGTGAATACCTTCTAATTCTTCAGGAGTGAATTCTGCTATTTCCTTTGATGTTGGTTCCTGATGTGTATTTAGGTTATCCAAGTTTTGCATGATCTGTGCACATAACCACATGGTCAAATACTAAGGTTCCCAATGAAAACTGACTATCGTGCATTCTACTGAATTTTTACAAAAAAAAACCCTTGGAGCAGTTGACCTCGGATCAAGTTACTTATTAGATTCACTGTGTTTTTAGTGCACAGGTCAATCCCATATTACAACTACCAGGATTCCAACAGTTTAGCAGGGAGTTGGAATTGTTTATCAATCAAAAAAATTGAAGAACAAAGTAGGTTCCTAATATCACTATATCAGAGATAACTTTTAACATCAGTAAGTTTATTTATTACTAGTCTTTTATTTTATTGGAAACTACGGAGAAATATTGACTTGTTTCCACTTTTTTTCTGCATTTGCTGCTGTCATTTCTTCCTTTGTTAGTGTGTGTCTGTGTCTAGTTGATAACAGACATGTAAGATGCTTGCCTCCAATTGTTTACTATTAAAGAATATTCTACAGCAAGCTAAACAGATGAAAATGACCATAGTGTTTCATTTTAGATTGCTAGATTTTTAGCTGTCACTTCTGTTCAATCTGGGTGCAACTAACTATATAGACTGAAGTCATGCTATATGAGTTGTTACTTCATTGGCTATATGCATTGCATTTCTTGTTCTTATCGTCTTAAATGTTAAGCTTTTTCTGTTTGCAATTATAGCTAGTGAGCAATTCGGATAAAAGGAAACAGAAGGCAATGAAAAAGAGCACTTGCCTTAGTATGACTAGTAAAAAAGATAAGAGTTCCCAGAATCCCTCAGCAAAAAAGATTAGAGATGGTTCCTCCTCAAGTAAAGAACCTATTGTTCCATATCTCAGTAGTGAGCTAGAGCCTAGAGACAATGATATTGGCTAGATTTCCTATATCAGAACACTGGAGGTTATGCTGCCTAAACAAGCAGTTCCTGGCACAACTCGAGTGGTGAAATCTATGAAATTAGGAGAGAGATAGGGTTCAAAGAACCATGTGTCTTTATGTTAGAAAGTGAACAAGGAAATTGGTGTGCACTTGATCGCCATTTCAAGTCCTGCAGGAAGCTCCCTTTTATTCCATCGGTTTACAGTTTTAGGGGTGGAAAAAATGGATCATTTTTTGCAGGGACCCATCAAGGATCGGAGGTTAGCGATTATTCTGTTCGGAGGTATGGGTTAGCAACTAATGAATGGTCCAAGGCTCTTCCCATGAACAGCCCAAGGTGCCTTTTTGCATCAGCCTCCTATTATATATTTGCATTTGTTGCAGGTGAACTTTGAGACAAACACTTATAGTGAAGTTTCAAGTTGTGCTGAGAAATACAGTTCAGAAAGCCAGTCTTGGAAGACCCTCCCAAGAATGGTACGAGAGAGGATATTTTGCTCTGGTTGTTACATGGATAACAAGTTCTAGGTAATTGGAGGACTAGATGAGCAAAAAAATGATCTCACTTGTGGGGAATTTTTTGATGAAGAGACAAATAGTTGGACCTTGGTTCCTGACATGTTGAAAGATATTCCACTTTCAACTTTCAGATCCCCACCTCTTTTGTCCGTTGTCAATAATAAGCTTTACGTACTTGATGCTTCCTCAAATGAGGTAAAGGTATATATGAAGGGAACAAATCCATGGAAGAAGAAGTTAGGACCGTTCTACTAAAAGCTAACACTCAAGAAGGTCCCTGGAGTGGAGATTTGGGCAGGGCATTCAAGTCCTTGGGCAATGAGCTACTTCTTATTGGTGCTAACTATGCCTTCTATTCACACACCTTGATGTCTGTATACACTTGCTGCCCTGATCCCGATGTTTGGTACTAACTACTTCTTAATTGTGAATAGAAGGCATGGTTAGGACCAATAAGAAGTAGCTCATTGCCCAAGGATTTGAATGCCCTGCCCAAATCTCCACTCCAGGGACCTTCTTGAGTGTTAGCTTTTAGAGGACTGGTCCTAAATTCTTCCATGAGTTTGTTCCCTTCATATATAGCTTTACCTCATTTGAGGAAGCATCAAGTATGTAAAGCTTATTATTGACAACAGCAAAAAGAGGTGGGGATCTCAAAGTTGAAAGTGGAATATCTTTCAACATGTCAGGAACCAAGGTCCAACTATTTGTCTCTTCATAAAAAAAATTCCCCACAAGTGAGATCTTGCAGTGGAGGGAAATTGTATGTAGAAACACTGACCATCACTCTTTTGACATTTGTGCCGTGATGTTAGCCTGAACCTTAAAGAAGTGGAGGCAGACAAGCTCGCAAGTTAATATGGAGTTGGCTTTTTTCACTTAGCTTATGTTGTTTTCCTTTGTTTCTTGTAAGCACAGAAACTTCCATGTTCATATATCACATATCTTGGAAGAGTTGTAACATATAACACAACTAAACAATACTAGAATTTGAATAAAAAACTGTTTATTCTATAGCTGTACCAATTAGTTCCTCATTTGCAAGTTACAAAATTGTTTATTTTAATAAAAAATTTGTAACCGATTAGTATTATAACTTTACCAATTGAGCAAGTGTATTACCTCGTTGCAGAAAGATGTAAATTGGCCAGTTGGTTGGTTTCCTGGAGCACATGTCTGAAATTGTTGTTCCCTTTGTGTTTTTCTTGTTTTGGATGTCCTAATTATCAAATGTTTCAAATAGTTCCATGATACATGCTTTTGAATTTTCATAGAAGACATTTCAAGTTGATCTTATCCCAAATTCGATTGTCCTACATTGCCATAACTTAAAACACATTAATTTATGTCTAATAATTGCTTCTCCTTTCAACATTAACTTAAATTTAGCATCATTTTACGGTTGAGGGTCATTTAATTATAATTTTTGTTGTCTGTTTATCATGTTTTGAAGCATGATTGTCTCAACGATAACTGAATTAGATAGAAAAAAAGAAAAGAAAAAAGTGACCATTTGTGTCAAACACCAAAACATTCAGCCCATATAACTCGGTGATCATTAAGCACATCATTCATTCTTGCTATGCTAAATACAAGAAATGTTCGAAGACATCACAAACAGAGAAATATTATCATTATATTTATATGCAATTTATAGAATCATTCAAAGGAGATTTCCCTATACCAGAACGTACAATAGGGTGAATAGGATAAACTTGAAATACTGATAAGTTATATCATTTTAGAAGAGAGATAGATAAAATAAATGAAAATCATAGGAGAGAAAGTGAGTGATTTTTTTTTAATTTAAATTTTAAATAAAAAAATATTATTTTGTGTTTATCTCTCTCTTAAAATGACATAACTTTATATCATTTAGAATGAAAAACACTTTTTCCTAAAACAAAACCAAATAGTTAGCTTCCTTTCTGTCCAAGACTAAGGATTCAACACTTCCCTCTCGGAAGAATTCGAAACCAAAAGAAAGAAGAGATTTCCCCTCATATTTTTTGGAGTAAATATTAAGAGGGAAAGGGAAGGAGAGGGAGTATGGGTTCCCTTTATAACTGAGTTTTAAAAAAGTGGAGGAAGGAAATAGGGAATTTTTGTAAAATCCTCAAAGATTTTTCCCAATTTGGAAGGTTTGAAAAAGAAAATATAATAAATTATTTATGTACTCTTATTCTCTTTCTTAAATATTTTGATTTTCTCTCTTTCTTAAAATAATTTGAATTTATTTGATGAAACTCTTTTTTTATTGCTTCCAATTGCTTTATTTTAAAATAAGTGATTTATTTTTATATATGATATTTATAAATTTTTTTAATAATTTTAATTTAGTTATAATGTGAAATAGATAATTTTAGATAAGAAAAATAAAATTTAGAGAGATAAAATAACAAGCAATTGTTGAATAGCCTACAATAATAAACATAAGCAATAACTAATGCTCCTATGAAGCACCGACACTTCAAAAACTCTGATGTGTCGTGTCCGACACTTCTTGACACTCCAACATGTGTTGCAGAGATTCAAAAAAGGGATCAAATGTTGTATTATATTGCATTTTTAGTTCAAACTATTAAATTTATTGGATTACGATTATCATTTTATTGAGTTTAATATAAATATTTGGAATATCTTATGTATCTTTGTAAAATTGATGGGTATTATAAGTTTAGCTTCATTTTTTAATTAAATTACTGAATATTAAATATAATATACACTACATAAATCAAAAATATTATTTAATACCAAAACGTGTTCTAATGTGTCGAAATCTAATATATTTTAGAATTAACGTGTCGAAGTGTCGTGTCGTATCTCGTGATCGTGTCGGTGCAACATAGAATGTAACCTTTGTCAATGTTTGCAACATTTCTCTGTGTGCATTTTGTTGCCTTGTAAAGTGTATTTCTTGATCTCTTACCTTAAACAACATTCTTCACTCCACTAAACACCATTCTTGAGCTCTTGGTTTTTATGATCTAATAAAGAATCAAACCTATTTAAATATTCCTGTTATTCAATATTTTCTTGACTAGGGCGTTCAACCACACGATCAACTAACATTTATCAAATTTGAAAAAAGAGTAAAAAGAAATGGTTCGATCGTCTTATTTTTATTTCTCGAATCGAGAGATCCATGAATCGGAATCCTAATGCATATAGATACAAATGGCCCCAAGTCATACATTCAATTGGTTCGATTTGAATTATTCAGAGGATACCTTATATATATTCTATCCAAAAAAATGGACAATCACACATATTTCTCGATTCAATTATAATCCAAATAAAGAAGAATTATTTTTTTTTTCAATAAAAAAACCAAGATTGATTGTTTATGTATAAATTTGGATTTTCTGATTCCATTAAGGAAAACCCATTTTTTATTATGTTTTAGGGTTTATATATACCGACAGTTATTGTTATAATCGAAATGAAGAATAATTTAGGACCATCTTTCGCATAAAGAAAAAGAGCAGGAGTAACAAGATTTTTTAGATACGGATAATGATGTAAAGCTAAGCAAATTGCCTCTGCCCCGAGAACAAAGAACTGTGTTGGTTGTAAGAGGTGTGAATCCGCTTGATCCTTTAACTCGCCTTGTATGACACTTAACCTGTGATCAAGCTCGGATGATTTCCTAGTGAGGCAGTTGTATTTCAGGATTGTGTCTCTCAAGCAAAGTCTCAATGTTGACGACCTCCTCCTGCATGTGCCTTGAGCTCCATTCATTTGAGTTAACCATGTCTATTACAAATTTATTGTAACTATCACGGTTGTTAACTTTTAACAAATGGATAAACACAATTGTGTGTCAACGACACAATTGATTTGGGTTACAAAAGCTTCCATAAACTAATTTCCATAAAAGAATAGGGAAGTCCATAAGACTAGGTGTTCATACTAGGGGAATACAAACTTGAACAACAACGTTATCAACAACTAAATCCATAAACTATAGTACATATAGAATGGGGAAGTCCACACGAATATAAGTTCATACAAGGGGAAAACAAAATTTCAAAATTGTGTCATAAAACAACGAAGCAATTAAACTGTAATACATAAAAAAAAAAAAAAAGGGAAGTTCACAAGAATAGGAGTTCATATTAGTGGGGGAAGAATTAACCGGGTTTAGTTTTTTGGGAATAGTATTAGGGTTTAGGGTACATGATTAGGGTTTTTGATTTAGTGTTTAGGGTTTATTGGTAGTGTTAAGGTTCATGGTTTATTAAATATTTTGTTCATTTTCTTCAAGATATTCAATATCTTGACAATCATTTATTGAGTTTAGCTCATCTTCATTTCAAATATGGTGTTTCTAATAAACTATAGCTTTTCTATCGTTTAATTATAGATATTGTAGAAGATTTGTCTTCAGCTCATATGTCTAGGCAGATCAAAATGAGATGAATTTAGAGACTTAATAGAAAAGGTGCCAATTTGTTCTGTTACTAACTAAAATCACACTAGGCTCAAACAGAATACGGAATGTGAGAAAACGTAAAAGCAATTTTTTTTTTTTTTTGGTAAATATTATACGCAATTTTAAGTTGGCTCTTTGCAGGTTCTGCACTTACAGGCAATGTGAGAAATAGGGAATTAATTACCCAAGGTATTGTTAGTTGTGGCATAATAGTGCCAACAAGGTTTTTGGCTTGCTTTTGTTACTTTCTTTGTCTAAATATAAACTATTCTGATTGTCAAAAAACAAGACCAAAATAATCAGGTAGTTTAAAATTTCTAATGGCACCAAACGGTAGCGTCCATACAATTTATAATAACAGTTTAAACATCACTCGCACTAACTTAAAAAAAAAAATTACCCTCCAATAATCTTTTGCAGTAGAGATAAATATTCATGTGAGTTTACATATAAACGACCTTATCCTATTGAAAACAACAACTCGACCAGTCAAAGCCTCTGAAGGAGCATTCAGCAAAACTCAAGAAGCCCATCATACCGAATATCAAATTTTCAGATTAATAGCTTTTCAATAGCATCCTGCATAGATACCAATCAAATACTCAGTATTAGTTTTTATTTAATATTAACATATAATGATAACAAATACCTGAAAATTATTAAAGCAAAGAACAATGCATACCTTTAATTGCTGTATTTGGGATTTCAATTGACTTCCCTCATTAGTTGTCACAGAACATGAAATGACTGGCCGGGTGACTCCACATGCTCGTCCAAGTGCTTGTTTTGATGGGACGAACACATAGGGAACATTCTAAAAAATTCAAGTAGAAATTACATGGTTAATAGGTTACTTCATTGCTATAGATAAAAGTCCCAAAAATATCATTGATTTGAAATGAAAACAGCTGGAATAGTTAAGACAAAAAAACAGAAAACCAAAATATTGTTGATCGGAACTCCACAAGTCTAAGTTCATATATCTACATATATAAGAACAGAGAATTATTTAGATATCAATCTTTTTGTTTATTATTTTTGTTTCTATTCTACTACCTTGTCACTTTTAATTGTAATGTGCTTCACAGAATAACAAACTGGAAAACAAGGATACAGAAGCACAAGTTGGGGAATTTTAATTTAGTCATCATGAAACTACTGAGCACTTCAAATTACTCATGGAATGCACAATAACTAATAAGCTGCAAAATTTTGTAGACATCATTCCTACATCAATTAGAACTTTCCTTCATAGAATACTTTGACAATAGTCACCCAACACATTACCAAAACAGAGTATTAACAGTCAACATAACAGAGCCTAAGCCATGTGCACTTATCATTCAACCTAAGAAGGAACACCAAGATGAACAAAGACAATTGAATACAATATTGATTCACCTTTCAAACATTCCGCCACTGACATTATATATATATATGTGATTCTGGAGTTATATCTTTACTTAACATGAGAGAAATATTATCAAACATACAACTTAACTTATTATTTACCAGTCTCCGTTAAAATTAAATGTTTATAGTTCTTTGTAATGTGTTGAAGACAGCCTACTCTTACTATTCATGCTGAATGAATTCTAACATGATTTTATCATGACACATTGACACCAACCATGGAATATCTCATACACAGCCTCATTTATTTATCCTAACACAATTAGGCATTTAAGATCTCTCATTCTGAACGCTCATATTTTGCAATGTTACTTTGCAGAAGCAAAATAGAATGAGCAGAGTGGGTATTTATATGCAATTGAACAGTTTGGCATCTAATGAATAGGTCTGCAATAAGAATTAGAGTTAGCCACAAAAGCTTTAATAAAGGAAAGGCAGTATGGCTTTGGAATGAACTGGCTAATGACATGTGATATCTATATGTATGTATTAGTTAATATGTTGCAAACAGAATGATGGCAATTTAATGATTGACTCAAAGTTTAGTAGATAAAAACAAACTTTTATGGCAATAATCAGTATTATATAAAACACAAACTATGAAAACTAACACCATCAAATTAAGAAAAATAGCTCGAACTATTTTAGGACCCATTTGCAAGGTATGGGACTTGGAGTCCCACATTAATTGTATGGGAAACTAATGTGGGATTTATAAGGCCTTGGACACTCTCACCCTTTGAGTTAGCTTTTGGGGTGGTGCATCCCAAAGTTCTTATCAAACTATAGCACCAATTGGAACGAAACATAAGATATAAAAAGTTCTCTAATTCAGGTAATAATGGCTGCGTAGCAAAGATATGATAATATGATGATAGTAATGAAATAGCCATGTCCCATTATCATTCAAACATATTAAAACAATTGATTTCTTTGTGTTCAACACTTCATGTATTATTGAGTACTCTTCCCTATAAAAGCCTCTCAACAGAAGCATAGCGAAATGCAAGCAATTGAATAAAGTACAAACAGAATTTTCACCTCCCATGCATATAAATTAAGTCAAGCGTTGTTTTCAGCAACTGCTCAAAATAATAAGAAAAGGGGTTTATAATAATCAGGTGACACACAGCCGACATAACTAACTGATCAAGCCACATTATCCATATCTGCAATTAAAAACTTTACTTTGATATACTAGACCTTAATAAAATAAAATGTCCTTATCTAGAAGATCTTGTAGCCTATCGCTTCAACCTTTACAAGCATGTCATACATAAGAGAAACACGAAATAAAAAAATGATCCAGCTAAAGGTACACTTTCTAAGTAACCACAACTTCACAGTAAGAACCAAGACATGAAGACAGCTTTATCAATAACAATGCTAAGAAAACATGACCCAGATAGCAATACTTTGAACATCAGTATACTACAACCATACACAACATAAGATATCCATCTTCGAAATATTAATGAAAAGGATGACATTAAACCTCTCCTCCATCAAGAATTTGTTCCATCTAAATTATGATTTTTTTTCAGATAAAAACAGTGATCACCAGAGTTATCACCCAATATTATTATTATTAAAATAAAATACTTTGAATTACAAGTCAATTTGAAACACAACAATAAATACATTAAACATCCGTTTACTAGTATATTGAATATAAGAGTCACTAATACTGCAAAAAAAAGAGAAGTTTTTGAACCTTTCACATATGTTAATAAATGTCTCAAGACAACAATATAAGATCCTTGGTATCAACCTAATTTATATTAATATCTGATAGCAGTCCAGGAAGCATCCCACCAGGCAGCAGCCCAGGAAGCATTCCACCAGGCAGCCCATCATCAGCTGGCCCACACAAAGAGGGGAATGAGCAATTCAAGCAAAGGAAGAGAACTGAGCCCATGTTGGTTTACCAAAGGAAGAATAAGAATAAGAATAAGAATAAGGAGAGAGAGGGTGTGGCATGTAATGAGTTGGATTTATCAGTATTGTAATGACAGTTATAGTGAGAGAGTGAGTGGAGTAGTTTGTTATTGTTTGTTATCACTTTTAGACGTTTATATTAGATGGAGAGACTTGAGGAAAGGCATTCTTGAATTCTGTTGAATTTCTACTGGTGTAGAGGGGCTAGTGGAGAGATCTCTCCATAGCTGGGAGCTTGGCTCTTTATCATTTCAATTCTGTAATCGTTTATTTTTCATTAATATACAAATTGTCTCCCTCTTTTGCTGATAGGAGGGGATAAATTCCTATCAATATCTCAACAGCTAAAGACATAAAATTAGAAACACAGCATTTCAAGGTTGACCACGCAAAACCTTATCACCATCAGTTGATATTGTTGCATATACACGTGTCTCCATCTTAGATATATTTTTCCAAGGCCTTTGGGAACAATCAGATCAAAGTCCAGTGAACTCAATCAACATAAAATCATAACAAAAGATAGTTGAATTCATTGTTCAAAACTGTGATAACTATTATCAGAGGTAAGTCATTATGGATGTGAGAATGGCTATGTTAAGTCTAGCTACTAGCCCACTACCATCTTATTTACTCTGCAATTTGAATGTACTTAACTAATATAGACCCATTGGCATGACTGTGAATCTGTGATAACTAATATTTACTCAGCAACACTATTCTATTGGCATGACTGCACAAGATAATTCCTAAATTTCTATTTTCCTGCAATTATCTGGACAAGACCATTCTCCATATTCTAAAATTTGAATCTGTGGAGTCTAAGCTCACAGCCTCACTCTGTATAAATAAATCCAGTGGATAAATTCTCAAAAGAGAGAGAAAATAAAACCAGGAACTTTTCTAGTAATACTCAATTAGGAAAATCCACAAATACAGGCTTCACAGATCTAAGCATGAACCCAAATCCAAATATACGCAAACCACCTTCCAGGAAAAATGAGAATTAAAAGCAACTATGCAAATATCGAATCCATTTTCTTTAAATCCCTCCCACGGATATTATATAGTCAACGAAGTTTGGCATCTGTATGTACATGAAGAGCTGGACCTACGTGTAGCGGTAAGGAGAAGTAATAACCCCAATATCAAAATATTTCCCATGTGTAATACACAAAATTCTGTAGATAGGCACCCCTCAAAAATGGTAAACCACCCCATCTTCTAAAATTGTACACTCTACAGCTATGAAGCACCGACTCCGACACGGCATTTTCGATATGTTCCCAATACGTTCTCGATACAACCGTTAATTCGTCGATACGATATAATACGTTTCCGATACGCGTATCGGATACGTTGGAAAAAAAATTGGAGTATCGGTGTTTCATAGCTCTACAGAACAGCAACCCCACCTAAACTCACTTAATTCCAACCCCGTATACATAATGATATTAATCAAAGACAAATTAATTGTTATAAAAAAAAGCATCAAGGACAATGATATGGTAAAATATCTTGTTTCAGAGCAAGCAATAATAATAATAATTCACAATAATAGCAATGGCAAGGCAATCACATGCATATTACCCAAAACTTTTGAAAAAGAAAATCCATAGATGCTAAAAAAAAGAAGTGAAAACTTGATACTTGAAATAAGAAAATCTCCGTCCTCAACCATGAGCCAAAAGAGAAAGAATCAGAGAGAAAGAAAAAGAAAAACTAAGCATTATTCAGAGAAAAACTGAAACTGAATTCATTGATTACAGATCTGTGTAGAGACCTCACTTATATAGATGATACAGTAAATAAGCATATATTCTAGAAGCTTCTAAAAGAGATCTGAACAGAATCTAACAAACTGACTGAAACTGAAACTGAGCTTCTAAGATTCAGTTATAACAAACTTAACACTACAAACACAAGAGTCCAGATACAATGAACCATAGAGTACAAATACATGACACGTACACTATTAATGAGGATTTAAGAAAAATAAAGGTATGGGAAGTTAGTTACCTTATCCTCAGCAAGTAAAGGAAGATGGAGAAGAATCTCAAGAGGCTCAGCGTCCGCTGCCATCACAATGAACTCAGAAATGCCTCTGTTCAGTGTCTTGGTCGCTAAAACAAACAAACAAACAAACAAAAAACGCAATAAATAACAATTGAGAACTATAAATAAAATGGTACAACCAATGAAATAAAACCTCTTTTGTACATGCTTGTTTTTAAAAGTAGAGGCAAAGTAATAATACCTTCATTAGCACCCTTTTTGAGCTGCTTGTAGTTGGCAGCTTGTTGAACAAGATCCAGTATTGTTAATGTGAGTTGTGCATCGGCCAAAGGGTACGCTTTTGGATTCACTGCCTCTCCTGTCTGCAAAGCAAATTGAAGAAAGAAAGAAAGAAAGCATGAAGAAAACTTGAAGAACATTCAAGTCAGATTCAATGAGTCATTTAGAAGGAAGAGATGATAACGAAAAGGTAACCATTTTTTGTTGGGGAGTCGTTGATTGAACGGCGAGAAGCGGCTAGGGTTTTTCGTGGAGAAGAAAGAGAGGAATAAGTGACAGTACAATGGGTTTTAGAGAGACAGGATCTGCAAGCATTGTTTATTAAATCAGGCCCCACCCAATCCGACATCTAAAATATCCGGTTCATTCAATTAACCGATAATATATGCAACCCGGTCAAGAACATATGAAACTGAAAAAAATTGGGTTCGATCGGTACTAATCTGATACCGATTTTTAGTTTTAACCGATATTTGAAAATTGTAGCAAAACGTTCCACTGCAATTACATTCTTGGATTTAAACTTATCACCTAAAAGAAAGGGAGTGATATGCTAATCAATAAACCAAATTATTTTGTTTATCGTATTACTTTTATTTATATATTTATTATATTTTTTACATAAATTCAAATTAAACTATAGAACTAATAATTCACTGGTTGAACTAATGATCCCTTGATTTGGCACCTCGATCGAGTCGATGGCTGAATCGAGTGTTATAATATTGCTTTTAATTAGGGGTGTAAATGGATCAGCCGACCTAACAGGGACTTACAACTCGGCCAATATTAAATTAGGCTCGGCCTATTATTATAGAACATGTTAAGGCATAAAAAAAAACCTATTTAGAAAGCAGGTCATAGGTTTTTTTTTACATGTCAGTGCCTATATGCCTATAGGCCGGTATTTAAATAAAATAAATAAATTATTATTTTAATAATTTTGAATAATAAAGTAATATTCTTTTATTTTTTTTTAATTATTAAATGTCTCATAGACTTAAACTGGCTAACAGGCCTATGCCAAAGTTTTTATTTTTTAAATATAGGTCATGCTAGATTTATAATTTGAGCCTACACAAGTAACAAATTCGCCAGACCTAAAGTATTTTACATAGGCCTAACTTATTCAAGTCAAAGCCTACCTCAACTCAGCCTATTTATATCCCTACTTTTAACAATGATTTTTCGACATTGATTGAATGTGAATACTATAAACATGCTTTTTAACATAAGTTGATTTACCTATAAAGTAGAGCCATCAAAACAGGCTATCCTACCCCGTGAGGCCCTAGCCCTAGCCATCAAAATTGAATGTTGTCATGATTCCTAATTTCCTATTAAAAGCTTATGTTTTTCTAAGTTTTGGATTTTTTTATTTAGTATTATGATTTTTTGAGGCCTTATAGATTTTTTTTTCAATCACTGTTAAAGAATGGGAAGATACTGCAAAATTGAGAACCACATGAGGAAAAAAGGCTTGAAAATGACGCGAGCACCTTGGATGAACTGTGAGGATTGACGGTGATGATTCCACACTTTGGTACTTTTTTTATTTTTTTTGTGAGTGGATTGTTCTGTACCATGTGCTTGCTGATTGAATCTCCTCCGCTTGCTCTAATATGATCGTTGGATCTCCTTTTCTTGCCCACATACTGTGATCTATTTGCAATCTCATTCTACAACAACTTCTATGAGTCATTAAACAATGTGTATTGAATTGAATCCTTAACCCTGGATTCTAAAAAAAAAACTCCAGAGAATTGTGTTTGTGAAATTTTGTTAACCATGAGCTGAAAGTTCTTAGGTGTCTTTTTGTTTTATGTTGTTTTTTTAAAAGCTGACATTCAAATACTCATTCATAATGAGAATTTTTTTAAAAAAAAAAAAAGCAAGCGGGTTATAGTTGACACAAACTGTTATGCCACAAAATATAAAACGAGGATATAGTTGGCTACATGTACTTTTTATTTTGATTACTCGAGTTTGAACTTACTTTAATATATGACAAAATAAAAGATGAGAATACTAATTTTCTGTATCCATGAAGTATGCTTAGTTAGTTCTTTTGCTTTTTCTCTTGCAATGATTGTAACATTATTTTTTTACAGATATTCTTTTGGTTTTGAATATGTGGCTAGCAAGTGCAATAATTGATTGTAAGAATGGATTTAATTTGCAAATTGGGAAATGTTTTTCCATGTGTGCAGTTTTACTGAGTTAGCTATTGTGCCTTTATTATATGATAAGATAATACCTACGGTTAATATATATTTGTTGTATGAAATTCTGCAGCTGAAGAAAGAGACAGATCAGAGTAATTTTTATTGCTCAATGAAGAATGCCATTTGGGTTATTTTGATTGCACTTATGGTGTAATATTGTAAATATTTACAAGCCTCTCTGTATTGCAATTGTGGGTTCATAATAATTCGACAAGTCTCAATGAAAGGTAACTTTCTATATTTATTTATTTGTTATAATTGTTTTAATAACAGCAAACCGTATAATTTATATTTACTTTTGGATTTGTCAGGGATACAATTTTATTTCAAACGTCAAAAATGCACAAATACAGAACCCGAATACTATGAACCTCAGAGACAAAATGTTTCAATTGTGGAAAATTCTCCTCAATCTCAAAGACAAAGTGTACCACCACAAGCATCTCAATTTCAAAGTTTTCAATCACCACCTCAAACAAAAGTTAATATAGAAAATCTTGAAGCAGATCCGGGAAAAAGACCTTCACTTTGTTCAATGACATCAAATCCTATAGAGAGAGGATACTCGAAGAGCTTATTTGCTCAAGGGTCCAACTCAACTAATTCTTAAACCATTTCCTCAAACAGAAATGTTTGGGAAAATGCGTAGATTCAATCCTAAGTGGTATGGAGAATTTGGTTCTTGGTTGGAGTATAGTGTATCACGAGATGCATGTTTTTGCTTGTATTGTTATCTATTTGATATGGAGGTTGGAGGTAGTGGTTCGACGAAGGAAGCATTTGTCGGTGTGGGGTTCAAAAATTGGCAGAAGAAGGATAGAATCAAAGTTCATGTTGGAGGTCATAGGAGTGTTCACAATAGATGTTATCAAGCTTGTCAAGATTTGATGAAGCAAAAGCAACATATTGATATTGCCTTTTTAAATATTTCTGAACAACAAAGAATTGATTATCGTATTCGGCTGAAAGCTTCTTTAGATTGTGCTAGATACTTATTACGAAATGGTCAGCCTTTTCGAGGGCATGGTGAATCTGAAAGTTCAAATCAACAAGGTTTATTTCTTGAAACTCTAAAGTTTTATACTAAGCCAAATAAGCAGATGAGTCATGTGGTCTTGCAAAATGCCCCCGATAATCATAAAATGACTACACCAAAAATTCAGAAAGATCTTGCTCAAGCTTGTGCTGATTTGACTGTTAAAGCAATAATTAGTTATCTCGGCGATGATTACTTTTCTTTGCTAGTTGATGAAGCTCGTGATGTTGCAATTAAAGAACAAATGGCAGTTGTACTTTGGTATGTAAACAAAAAAGGGGTCCATTGTTGAATGTTTTATTGGCATAATTCACGTTTCAGATACTACTGCAAAATCACTAAAAGATGCGATTGATGGGTTGTTTTCTAAACTAAGTTTAAGTTTGTCTAAATGTCGCGGTCAAAGCTATGATGGTGTTAGTAATATGCGAGGTGAATTCAAAGGGCTTAAGAGTTTGATTTTGGCAGACAACAAATTTGCATTCTACATTCATTGTTTTGCTCATCAGTTACAATTGACACTTGTGAAGGTTGCAAAACATTATAAGAAGATTCAAGAATTTTTTGACATGCTTCAAAAGATGGCTACCGTTGTGGGGGGTTCATGCAAGCGGAAAGAAATTCTTCTAATGAATCAATATGAGCAAATAGTTGAAAGAATTGCTCGCGGTGAAATACTAACTGGAAAAAGTTTGAATCAAGAGACAACCTTAAAGTGACCTGGAGACACTCGTTGGGGTTCCCATTTTGGTATAGTTACAAGTGTTATCTGTAAGAACCTGCACCGATAATTAAGGTATTTAATTAATTAATTATGCAAAAATAATAAATGATTCCATAATTGACCTTAATAATTATTTATGAGGCTTAATAATCATAATAAGTGATTAAGAAAGCTGAAAGTCACTTTTCGGAAGAAAAGTGCAGATACCGGTTCTGCTAGTCGGTATAAATGTGTACCGAAAAAGTATCCCAGAAAATTAAAGTAAGTGCATGATAGTTACTAGAATAACATGTAGGACTTGTAAAACGAGTTTCAAGTCCAAATAATGAGAACTGGTGCTAGAAACCGGTACTGGCTTTGAAAAGCGCGTACCGGAAAGGTGCTCAGAAAAATATAAGAAAAATATAATAATTCTTAGAAAATTATGTAGTTTCAGAATCCAAAGTTTGGGATTAAAATGCTAAGCGTATCATTTAAAGTTAATACTGTGTGTTTAAGTGTGTTTGGGCTATAAATACTCTCATTATGGGCACAAAATCCTAGACTCTTTTATTTCCTTCGTGAGTGAGCTGATCAGCTTGGGAGGGAGCACTGTTCCATTGCTTTCTTCTCTTGTTCTTGACCAAAACTCAACCTTGAACCCATTTTCTTGGTTGTTTCATCATCCTAAACACTTGGTGTGAGTGAGAGACATCATTGTGGGTGAGTGAGGGTGTTCTTCAGTGGTACTCCAGCTGCTGTTGGTGAGAGTTTTGGGGCTGACTTGGTTGGCTTGATTGTGGAAGCTTGAGTTGGGCATTTTGTTGCTTAAAGAAGCAACCTTTGGGTAGAAAGGTCAAGTCTTGGTGTAGCATTTTCGTACACCATATTCCCAGTAGCTGTTGAAGCTGTCTTGGGAGCTTCTTGAGCAGTTGAACCTCTGTTTTTGCCTTTGGTATGTATACCAACCTTTGATCTTGAGTTTTAAGGCTTAAAAATGGTAGCTTGATGCATGTTAAGGTTAAAAGATGATAACTTGTTGTTGAGTGAGGCTTAACACATCTAGAAATGCATGATTAGGTGTTTAAAATCGGTAAAAAGGGAACCTTTTAGGGATATCTTCACGAAAATGCAGAAACTGCATTCTGTCGTGAGATATCCGGATATCTGTCGAACTGATATCCGGATATTGGATATCCGGATACGTGGTTTTGGATATCCGGATATGTGAATCTGTATATCCGGATATTGCATATCCGGATATGGACAGTGAGATATCCGGATATTCTGGGATTTCGCAGAACAGCAGCTGTGCTGTGTGTACAGTAGGCTATTGGGGGTTTGTGGACCCTAGTTTGATGAAGTTGAACTTCTGTATTTAATGGATTAAGCCAGAATCATGGGATTAAGGGCTTGTGGCTTTGTTAGAAGCTTTAAGACTTGAAAACGTAATGAAAAGGCGTTGTCTTTAATTTGTATGCATGTGGTACATGTTATTGATTTATGTTTGGTCCATATCAGATTGTGATCTGCTGTGATTGGACTTTGAGCTTGTGGCATTGGATAGCTGGCTTAGAGGTAAGCTTTCGTGTCCTCGGTTTAGCCATGTTGTGGTTCCACCATGTCCCATGGGGGTATGGTTATATGCATGCTGTGTTACATGCTTTTGATGTTTTGGAAATGCTGTTGAGCTATTATATGTTAGTGCCTTGTTGATATGCATGGAGGTGTTCCACCTATACGGTAAGCCTGAGTATGTAGAACATACAAGAGGGTGAGGCTGTGGGTGAGGTGCAAGCGGTGTTCCTTGTACTACATGTAGGGAATAGACGTATTCCTACATTTCTCTGGCCAGTAGATAGTGATTACACACATGCCATAGATATTTGTTGCACTACATAGTTTTCGGAACTGGTAATGATATAAATGCTTTTGAACTTATATTGCACATGTAAGTGAGCTTGGGGTGGAAGATCCTTGAGGACCCCTTGTCTTACTGAGATTTCTAGTTTAGAGATCTCACCCCACGTTTGGGGAATGCTTATTTCAGGATCAGGTAATGTTGAGACCTCAGGCGGCAGGAGGCCGGAGCTGAGTTAGAGTGCTGTTATTTTATGCTGCCATGATTGGATGCTGGATTTGCATGCTGTTTATATGCTTATAGCTTCAGTTATGATTTTGGAGTTTCATGTTGAGATTGTTGTTTACTATGTCTATTTGGTGAGCATGGGGATTGTCCATGACACATAGTATTATTATGTCTTGAGTCTTTTGGAGTTGTATTAATGTATCAAGATATTGTCCGGATTACTTGATGTAATGCCGTGATCTAGATACACACTTTATCTATATATTGAGGTATTTCAGTAGATGTCTTATTGCAATTTACATACAGGCGTTATTTTATGAAATTGATTAAGTAATCAAGTTGGTAATTGATAATGACGTCATAATTGAAAAGAAAAAGAATATTCTGCATTTTTAATTAAGCACCGCTTAATACGATGCAATGTTAATATTTCGGGTATACACGGGGTGTTACATTATCTCATTATTTTCACCAATAATTTCCTTGATGAAAATTATTGAAGACGAGCCTAAGAATGATGCTGCAAGAACTGATGCAGGTTGCATTTTGTATGCCATGGAGGATTTTGAGTTTGCATTCTTGTTGCATCTTATGAAACTTATCTTGGGAATTTCTTATGAGTTGTCACAAGCACTACAAAGAAAAGATCAAGACCTTTTAAATGCAATTGGTTTAGTAAAGGTAGTCAAGTCTCGCTTACAAGAGGTGAGAGATAATGGTTTTGATGAATTGCTTCAAGAAACGAACATATTTGCCAATAAATATGATATTGACATTTCAAATATGGAAGATGTTTATTGTCCTAAAGGGAGATCAAGACGGAGATTGGAATCATTCACATTCTTGCACTACTTTAAGGTGGAGTTATTTAATAGAGTGATAGATACTCAAGTTCAAGAGTTGGGTGATCGATTTGATAATGTGAATACCAAGTTGCTTGAGTGTTTGAGTTGTCTTGATCCTCGTGATTCATTTGCTACTTTTAACAAAGAAAAGTTGATTGAGTTTGCTAGATTTTATCTTTTGGAGTTTGATGAGCTTGCAGATATTCCTTTTTTTTTCTTCAAGTCTGAGTAATTTTATTGTTGATGTAAGAACTGATTCTGATTTTGTCAATTTGAAAAGAATTTCTGAACTTGCTTTGAAGATGGTTGAGAAGAGAAAGGATATTTTTTATCCATTGGTCTATTTATTGATAAAGTTGGCACTCCTTCTACCGGTAGCAACTGCTAGTGTTGAACGAGTTTTTTCTGCAATGACTTTTGTTAAGGATAAGCTGCGCAATCGGATAAGTGATGATTGGTTTAACGCATGCATGCTAACTTATGTTGAACATGATATATTTGATAAGATTGACGATGAAGATATAATGCAATATTTTCAAGCAATGAAGAATCGAAGAATGCTTTTGTGATCATTCTATTTTAATAGCTTAGTTAACTCTTGATCTTTTCTTTTATGTTAAATACCTTTTTTGTGTTGAGATTAAATGTCAGTAATTCTTATGGCAGAATACTATTTTTCAGGTAGTAACTGAAGAGATAGGATAACTTGATTTTCTGGGTTTGCACACTTCAATCGCTCAACTCAACAATCATTGGACATAACTTCACTGTCATACTTGCTTCACTGGTAACATTTAATAACTGAAGAGATAGGTAGTATTTTCCTAGAATTGTTATTCACTTTATATGTTTTTCCTGCATTGATAAGTCAACTCCTCCATACGAAAGTTATATAAAAAAAAATTTCGGGGGCGCTACCCCGAACCCCCGCCACTAATTGTGCGGACATGAACTAATTTTTCTGGGTCCACCACTGCAAGAGACATTATATATTTCAGAATTATCTTTGATATATTCCGAAACAATCTTTAAACAATAAACCTTATATTGTGTTGCCATCAATTACGATGTTCAATCACATGAGCTGAGTTCCCATTGAGAGAGAATATGTATTTAATAAACTTAACAATTAGTCAAGTATTAATGTAAGAAATTTTTTTAATATAAACAGATTTCTCTCCAATGAGCCCAAAACGACATTATTTTGTGGCAAAAATCAAGGTATTTTTGTACTTATAATTTATTACAGGGATATATTAGTCTTTATTATTATAATTTTTTAAACTTATAACGCAAAACGACGTTGTTTTGAGCTCAATGGAGATATACTTTTCTCTATATTAAAAACTTAAAAGTAATTTAATATTTAAAAAGTTTTAGTACCATAATATATGTAAGGGATACATGAACTTACATCAATGTAAGAATAATAAGTCTTATCTTCAATCTTAGTTATTGATTTATGTGCATTTGATGATTATAATTTATTAAAAATTAATAATTAGTTAATAAATTTAACCGAATAAATTTTAATGCATAGAAATCGACTAAGATTGAATATAAAATTTATCATTCTTGTATAAATTTGGTCTTGTCCCATATATCTAATATTTCAAATAATTATCCAAAGAATTGTTAATCTAGTAGCATCCCAATTATATTCTAGGATTTGACCTGATTTCAATTTCTAAGAGTTATAATTCCTAAAAAAAAAATGAAAAGGCTTAAATCCGAAATAAGATCCTGGTTAATATTTTAAAAATAAAATAAAAATTCAAATGATTGTTATAGCCTTATAGGATAAGAAATGGACTAAAAGAGAAAAGCCCAAGGAACATGGGTCACATAAAGAGTCACTTTATTTTCATTCATTCCTCTATGACTAATCCAATTTCAGTGTGATAAACCTTTGCGTTGTCATTGACATCATCCATGGCTACCTCATCCACTATTTGCAACTTTCTCTCTTTCATCTTACCCACAAAACCACCACCATCACAGCAACCACCACCACCACAGCTCAACCTTCCTTCTTCATCCACTCCTTTTCCTTCTCAAACCCACAAATTTTCACACAATTTGGTGCCACTGGTTTCCCAAGATGACCCTTCTTCTTCTTCTTCTTCTCGTGACTTATCCTCTGTGATATGTCCATCGCTTGCATATGCAAACACCCTTTTCTTCAGATCTGCGTACAACGTTCAGGTTGTGGTTGGTGACAACGAGCCAGAGGAGAAGCTTCTCAACAGGTTCCGCAGAGAGGTGTTTAGAGCTGGTGTCATTCAAGAATGCAAGAGGAGAAGGTACTTTGAGAATAAGCAAGATGAGAAGAAACGCAGGACCCGTGACGCTGCAAAGCGTAACAAAAAAAGGTGCTTCCTTTTTTTTTTTTTTTTATTGTTTGTGTGTGTTTTTTGTGTGGGTTGACATGTGAGTGCTGGGTTACAATAGTGAATTAAGATGACCCATCATTGGTATTGTTTCTTGTCTTCAAATACAAGATGATGGAATTAGGAAAAAATAGTTTTTTTTTTCTTTGGGTTTTGATTAGGAGAATCCAATGGGCAATTGCAGCCTTATTTTTTATTTTAATTAAAAGTAAATTTTTTGGTATCTCTTTGAATGGATAAGTTGTTGCATTGGTGATTCATATTGGGTGGACTATGTGGGTGGATGTTTTATGTGAGGTTTGTGCGTGAAAATGGATTGTCTCATGGGATATTTTCAGTGATGTGAGAGAAAGACACAAAAGGGCTTTGTTTAAAGTTGTGGTTTCCTGATTAGGGTCATTGTTATGTTCTTTGTATCCATCCCTGTTTTGTGCTATTGTTTAGTGGTTGTAACTCTTGAGATATATTGGTGTATATATGCAAGAGCACAAAGCGCAATCTTTTGTGAGCAAAGTATAGCTAAGATGGTAGTGATGATGACTAGAATTGCCTGGATATAATGGGAGGATAGTCTTTATTTTCCCCACTATATCCATGACTTGGGAAACAATGTTCTTTTTGAAATTCAGTAATTATTCTTTTTCTCTAATGTCAAATCTATTCATAAACCATAGAGACAGAGATTTGTTTGGGTGCATGTTGCTAACTTGTTCTTTTTCAATGTTGTTATGGAGTTTTGTACTGTCTAATGTTTTCTGTGGTTGGACTGATTTTGTAAATTTCTTCTGCTATTTCTTCGCCCTTGACATGGAATTTCTATTGGGTGCCTCTTGAGATTTTCTTGTGTGGCAGGTGATGAGAGAAGTGGGTGTTCTTTAAGTTAAGATTTCCATTAACAATGATTATTTGATGCTTGTCTTCCTTACATCATTTTCAGGAGGCCCTTTTCAAGAACATTTACACAGAACAAGGAGGATGTCCCAATAACCAAGAAGGAAGAGGACATTGATAACTGGGATCTACCTGAAGGAGGCACTCCTTATTGATCACTTGATCCTCTAAATTCTGTAGGTTTCTTTGCATTTTACTGTGAGAGGCTTCATCCTACATTTAAGTTCTGTTAAGTAAAATGTGTTTCTTGGACTTGGTGCTCTTTCAATTTATGTTTGATCTAATATGATGTGACTTGTTCATTTGTACATCAAAATTTTGTTATGCTCTTTGTTCTCTGAAGTCTTGCATCAACTACTTCTTTTTGTACCTCTTGCATCAATTTAGAAGTCCTTGTGTTGTCTTATTTACCCGACATGTAAAAGTCACTTTAACTGATATGAAAAAGAAGAGTTACATAATAGGATAATTTGTGTTTTAAGAGCAAATGTCTTCCTCTTTGGACAGTGAAATAATTCTTGGTAAGAGTAATATATATTTGAATTGAGATGGTAAGCTGTTCATTTCAGCTGTAATATTGAACGTAATGAAAATTTGAAATACTTGAGATTAAAGAATAATTGTATATTGAATAATCATAGTGTATTACAATGTACAAGAGCTCTCTATTTAAAGAGATTAAAAGACCTAATAGGTTGAGCTCATACGATGTGGGGCTATATATACTGAACTATTTTTACAACTATTATAACACTCCCCCTCAAGCTGGAGCATATATATTGTAAGCACCCAGCTTGCCACAAATATATTCAACCAGAGGACCCCTAAGAGCTTTAGTGAAGACATCCGCGAGTTGATCATTGGAGTTGACAAATTCCGTTTTGATTTCTCCTGACTGAATCTTTTCTCGAATGAAATGACAATCGATCTCTATATGTTTGGTTCTTTACATGGTATCAGAGCTTCGTGTCCTGGGTTCTATCCTCACCGCCCCCCACTTTCTCTTGTGGAATTTTCTTAGCACAGGTAGGTGGGCCTGTGCATTATCCACCCTTCAAGCCCAGTGGGCTCTCGTGTGAGGGGGCGTGTTGAGAAATATAAAATTATTAATGTAACCTCACTCAACAGCGTTGAATTGGTTCTTTACAGAAATAATCCAACTATATTGAAGTTTACATTTGAAAAAAAAAAAAATCACTCACCGTTAAACCCCGACTAGCGAGGGTGGAATGAGGACAATCCGTGTACGCAGTCTTACCCTTATATATTTGCAAAGATGTTGTTTTCCGAATTCGAATATGTGATCTTTCAGTCATAAAGAAGCAGTTCTATCATTGCTGGAGGCTCGCCTTCTTTATTTTAAAGTTTGCATTTACTAGGAGTATATTCCTACATCTATTAGTGTGTTCTGGACCTGAAAATGGGAAAGAAGTGCCCTTTTTTCACGCAACTCCTTTCTTCCAAGCACACGTGCCTCACAGGGAAAAATGGTTTTTGGCTCACTCATCCCACATCAGGGAATCTTCTCAATGCTATATATACATACCTTAATCCTCCATTGAGGAGGGAATTTCTTCTCCATATTCATCATTGTTGTTACTATGCTGAGATTCAGCCTTACTCGTGGCGAACCGGGTCCTTCTTCTCTCCCTAATTCTGAACTTTTGCCTGAGACCTGAAACAATGATTGCCCATTGGAGATCTATTTCATTCACTCTCACATCGATATTTTAGGAAATATTTTACCCCATTCTCCTAAACTGATCAGTGATCAGTGTGTGTTACTTTGAATGATGTTGAACACAATATTATTAAACCCGGCCCGGTTATTGACTCAGTGGAAGTACTGGATCACTGGGTCACTGGTTCAACTAGTGGGTCACTGGTTCAACCAGTGGGTCACTAGTTCAACTGCATGACCCGGTAAGTATATGTAAATCTACAATTTATATTAAAAAAACTATAAATATACTTAAATACTTGTAAAAAAAAAATACCAATTTCAAATATTTTAATTTGAAAATAATAAATTACGCATCAATTTTCAACAAAAGATCAATCAAACATATAATATTTGTGATATTAGTGTTTCAGGTTCACTAAACGACATCTCTAACTATAAATCAAATCAAAATTCTCTGCATATTGCATAATCAAGATAATATTAGTGTTGTAGGTACATAATCTATATAAGTTAATAAGCTACAAATCACTCATATATTTCAAAAGAAAATAAATTATTTGTGTTTGAGAGTAAAAAAAAAGAAGACATTAATTTATGAAAATAAATTTATTTTTTTTATAGACCGGGGGTCATCGGTTGAACTGATCGGGTCACCGATTTTTACGAAAACAGGCCGGATTGCACCGGATCACACAGGTTCTGTAACATAACCGGTCCAAAATAAAAATCGGACCGGTTACATGACCGATTTACCGATTTCCGGGTCAACCCGGTTCGGTCAATCCGATTTTTATAACCTTGGTTGAAGATATGCAAAAACTAGTTAGGAAATTTTTTCATCGTTTTAAGTTAGATATATGTCGAAGTTAAGCATTATATATTATTTTACTATCATTTAGCGCTTGTTTTTGGGATCACTGGTTTTTCTAGCTTTGTTGACTGTTAAAAAGGGAAATATCTTTTTATTACTATTCAGAAGTTAAATAATTTGCCAAAATAATTAGCGATATATGCATGAAGGGTGTGCGCGAGTCTCAAGTTGTGCATCTTCGCCCATGTGGGCCGCACCGCATTATTTTAACAAATTGTTTGGCTTTTTAATCAACAAAGAAAAATGTTTCCCTTGAAGCATCAAATAGGTTGAAAAAAGGGGGTGTTTTCTCCTAACTTGTTACAAACATCCTTGACTACATTGGAACTAGACATCCTTAACGATAGGGTTAGCAAAATGGGCCAACCCGGCTCGACCCGGCCCAACCCGCATTCAACCTGAAAAAAAGGGTCAGGTTAGGGTTGGCCCGAAAAAAAAACGAGCCATAAAACCCTACCCAGCCCGACCCGGGCCGGGTTAGGGTTGGCTCGCAGGTTGGCTCGATAATCAGCTCGCGGGTTGGCTCAAAAAAAGCTCGCGGGTTAGCTCGAAATGATGCCAGTGGGTTGGCTCGTGGGTTGGTTAGCTCGAAATATTGCCAGTGGGCTGGCTCGCGGGTTGGCTCAAGAAAATTGGTTGTTGTGGAACTTGTCTTATTTGTTCTTCAACACTACACAAAAATTAAGAGATCCCAACATAGTAGTAGACAAACACATTACAAAATACAAATTGTCCTATGATATCCCATGGCCAATACAGTACAATATCAAAATCTAAACATCAAAAAGTACACCATCATCATTAGATCATCTGCAAAGAGATTGTTGTATTCAGTCCTAATTTTCTTGCCAACTTTTCACCTAAGGTGCGGCTTCCAGTCAGTGCAAAACTACAAAGAGACCAAGGCAATGTGAGAGCAAATATAATGCTTTTACATGAATCAAATGCAAGGGAAAGCCTTTACGGTACAAAACATGCTATAGCAAAAGATACAAAAAATAAAGCTTGCCATCATATAAAAGTTTAAAGGAAGAAAATGTGATTCCACGAAATTGAAACACAACATAGCTTTTACCAAGCTGCAGCCATGGGAAACACATCATTTACTGACAAAAACTTTAATGGTCAATAATTTAAATACCCAAAAATGAAACTAGCACAATGAATTTAACTCACAAGTATACAAGGTACTGTATCCCAATTATAGAAGATACTGCAAAAAAATTTCACAAAATTAACACCAGCCAATGAAATTATATTTTGATAAACCTTTAGCATATAGATTGGTGAGCGATGAGTGAGAGAGAGAAAGGTGATCATGGGAAGAATCCTGGCAAATCAAGTGAAGAACTTGACATTCTTCAAAGAAGTAATAAGAGGAATAAAGGTGAGGGAGATCAGTTTTCAAATGATGTATCTATGATACCTAGACATGAAGGTTGGATGGAAGATGAGAATGGCCAACGTTCAACCTGGAGGGAAATTCTGATGCGTCATAATGGAGAAGATGATGAATGGGAAGGAGAGGCGTCTGCCGAGGAAGACTTAGATGGGGAGGAACCTGCTGAGGAAGAGGATGTCAACCATGGAGGAATTAAGATGTGGGAGGAAGATGATGGGCGTACTTATTTTAGTTGCACCAAAAGAGCAAGGAAGAGAATGAGGAAACCTTGGGAGAAAGCTCTGATTGTTAAACTCCTTGGGAAGAAAATTGGGGTGGAGTTTATGAAGAAAAAAATAAATGTCTTATGGGCTAGAAAAGGCAAAATAAATGTCACTGATATTGGTAATGACTTTTTCGTAGTCCAGTTTAGTGAGAAGGATGATCTCAATTTTGCGTTGAACGGTGGTCCATGGATTGTTTTGGGTCATTATTTATCGTTGAGGAAGTGGGAACCAACTTTCAGACCTAATAGTGCTGGAATTGCTAAGATTGCTGCTTGGATTCGTCTACCGGATATTCCCATTGAATTCTATGATGAAGCTTTTTTTAGAAGGATTGGAAACTGGTTAGGCAAGATGATCAAGGTAGACAGCAATACAAATGCTCATGTAAGAGGACGGTTTGCAAGAATATGTGTGGAACTGGACCTATCTCAGCCATTAAAGGGTGATTATGTGCTGGAAGGATTTACCAAACAAATTGAGTATGAAGGATTAGGGCTCATTTGTTTTGGTTGTGGGAAATATGGACATAGCACCGAGAATTGTTCAGCTGCTCCAAAGCAACGCAGTTCATCCGATATTCATAATGACGATCAAATTCATCAAGAGGAACCTGGCAACTCAGAATTCCATCGAAGCAAAGGATTGGGACCTTGGATGGTTGTTAACCGTCAACGCAGGAGCCGACAACCTCCTCAGACGGCTGGTGCAGTCCAGCCAGGCGCTGGTTCAAAAACGTTACAAAGGAATAATGATAAGGGAGTTATGACCAGCGATAATCATGGTGATAAGAGAGTTATGACCAGCGATAATCATGGTAATCATGGTAATAAGGGAGTTATGACCAGCGATAATCATGGTAATCATGGTAATAAGGGAGTTATGACCAGCGATAATCATGGAGATAATCATGGTGATAAGGAGGAAATTACGCAATCACGGTTTGCAATCTTAACAGCTGGACCTATTAATGGGGAGGATCATAATCAAATAATTAATTCTGTTATTCCTCATATGGGGGGCCCTCAGTTTGAAATTTCTCAGAAAATATGGACTAAATCCAAAAAGTCCAAAGATACCCCTAGGACTAAATCAACGGTTCCTACTATGCATGCGGCTCATTCTTCAAGCACGGGTAAGAGGTGTCCAGTCCAGAGTGAAAATCGTGAAGATCATACTCCCGTTCCACCATCTCCATCAATTG